TGTAGAGCATAATAATATAGCAGAGATTTCTTCTTCCTCAATTAAACACCTCTTTTGCTAAAACTACATAAAACACTTTAGAGGTAATAATTAGCTTCGAGATAGATATTTTTCTTCTTGTTAGAGATGACATTCTCTTTGTTCTGGTTATCCTTCTTTTCTTCATCTGAATCTAAATCAACCTTCTTCTTTACATCTTCTTTCTCCTCAGGCTCATCCTTCTTACCATCGTCCTAATCAAACAAAAACAGTTTCTCTTCAGATTTAACCATCAATGAACTTTCTAAGTCACGATTAAGAGCCAAAAAGAGTCGTACATTAGAGGCAACAGGTTCCCGAAAGTTGAACTTCTCAAAGATTTGATTAAATTCATCGTTAAATCCATCTTCAAATTTGACTTGCTCTGGAACATACTCAATCACAATCTCCTCAAATACCTATCAAGAAACAAATACCACACATCATCATAAAAAAAACCAATAAACCCTGTAAACCCTAGAAAATCTCTAATCCAAAAAAAAAAAAACCTTAGAACTAACCTGTTGATGCGGATCCGCGTCCTCCTTAGAATCGGAAGCACCAGAAAAGTCTTCCTTCTCTTCTACGCCGGTCTGAGATGCTTTGTTGTTCTTCTTCTCCTTTCGTCTACGGCGGCGACGGTTCATAGGATTTCTTCTCGAAGAAGAAGAAGTTGCGAAAGGGTTTTTTTTTTTGGTTCAATATTACACAAATGTTTCGGGTCATCCATCCGGGTCGCGCGGATTCGACTGTGATCCGCGGGTGTGCAGTCGGATCTAGTTCCAAAAATGTCTACAATTCAACAGATAATTATTGAAATTGCCACTGAAAAATTCCAAAATTATCCATTTCAATTGAATTTTATTAGTTTAAAACCAATGGCAATTTTAGTAATATTANATAGGATTTTGGACATTTACTCTAAATGATTTTTGTTTTAATAGTATAGAGATTGTTATTAGCTTTTGGTAAACGGTTTCAAAGCAATTCTGTTTTGAAAATCTTATACTGTAACTTAACCGAGCGTGAGTGATACTAGAGCCAAAGTCAATAACTGAACAACTAAACTAAGCCATCAGACATACATAAATGTCTCCCGAAATCTGAAGTAAGCCATTTGAAATCCAGAAAACGAGTAACCACTAAAAAGAAGCAAAGCAAATTAGTAGTATATATATCCGATAATTTTGTTTTTCTAAAGAATTTAGTATAATGTAGTTTTTTAGCTTTATGAAGTGCTTTTGTTGTTTAGTATTAGAATTGCACTTTGTAAACTATGTTTCTTTTCTGCCTATCTTATATATATATTGCAATATTTTAATCTTGTAAACTATGTTAATCAAACTTAATCTTACAAGTTTAATTTACTTTTAGGTCCCAGCAGTTTGGTTTATATTTCAGCAATTTAATTTTATCAATTAGTATTTGGCTACGAAGCTTTAATTGATTTTAATTATAATTGGTACAACACAAAAACATCTATCGGGTAGTTGATGTGGCCCCCATTATTCGGACATACGCCCAAAGTTTAAAGAAGACATGTGAAACGTTGACTTCTGAAAGGTCTACCATTGTGTGCTTGGCTAGCTTCTCCTCAGAGTATTCCTCTGCATAATCTCTCTCTCTAGATTTGCTTTTATAAGTTTGTTTCTCTTCTAAGTCTCTAATGATTCAGTGACATTGAACCAAGCATATGAGAGGATGGCTCAAAGTCAAGGTGATTCCCTTGTAGAGTCCATCAAAGCAAAGTTAGAATCTTTGTCTTCTCTTTCATCCAAATGTTGTATATACAAGGTACCTAATAAGCTAAGGGGACTCAATCCTGATGCATATTCGCCTCGGCTTGTGTCCTTTGGCCCGTTTCATCGCGGTAAAGAAGAGCTTCAAGCCATGGAAGATCATAAATACAGGTACTTGCAATGCTTTCTACCTAGAACAAGCTTTAGTTTAGAGCACCTTATTAGAGTTGCAAGGAAATGGGAAGAGAATGCTCGCAATTCTTACGCAGAAGATGTGAAACTTAATAGCGATGAGTTTGTGGAAATGTTAGTTGTTGATGGTAGCTTCTTAGTTGAGCTCATTTTGAGATCTCGTTATCCTCAACTTATAGGCGAAGAAGATCGAATATTTAGGAAGCCAATGATGATCACTGATGTGTGTCGTGACATGATTTTGATCGAGAATCAATTACCCTATTTCGTCGTGAAGGGCTTATTTCAGCTCTTGTCTTTTAACTACCAGCAAGGAACACATTCAATCATGGAGATCATTCACTTGCACTTCAGTTGTTTCTTGAGCAACATTGATGATCAAAAGATTGATTCAGAGCCAGAGCATTTTGTTGATCTTTTGAGGTCTTGTTATCTGCCAGTGGTTCCAATCGGATCAGAAGAAACCACATTGAAAGTTGACTATGCACCAGGAGCAACCGAGCTTCACAATGCTGGTGTTATGTTCAAGCCAGCAGAGACCAGTAGTTGTTTATTTGACATTAAATTTGATCATGGGGTACTTAAAATTCCTACCGTTTTCGTAGATGATCTCACGGAATCTCTCTTTAGAAACATCATTGTGTTTGAACAATGTCATTGCTCAGATAAGAACTTCCTCCACTACACTAGGTTGCTCAGTTGCCTCATTAGATCTCCTACGGATGCTGACTTACTCATCCGAAGTGGGATCTTCCTAAACAGTCTCGGGAACGCAGAAGATGTTTCAAAGTTGTTCAATAACATCTGTAAAGAGGTTATCTTTGGTAGAAGATTCTACTTTCTGACACTCTCTGAGAACCTACAAGCTTACTGCAACACACCATGGAACAGGTGGAAGGTGATTCTGAGACGGGACTATTTCCACAATCCTTGGTCTGTTGCTTCTGTTTTGGCTGCTTTACTTCTTCTCCTTCTCACTTCCATACAAGCTATATGCTCTATCTTGGCCATGTAAGTTACAACAGGTCAATGTGTATTACTAGTCAATGTGTCATTGTAAATCCACCTTGTCAGACGCTTGTGCTGCTTGAATAAACCGCCTAAAACACAAAAGATGAAAATGAACTTGTTGTAAATGTTCTACTATA